TGGGTCCAGACCCGAAATGTCAGCTTTCCTGCTCCTCTGATGCTGCCTGGCCTGCTGTGTTCCTCCAGCTCCGCACTGTGTTATTTCTTTCTCCACAGTTGCTGCCTGACTTGATGAGTTTCGCCAGCACTTTCTGTCAGTCTCAAGCAAACCGTACAAGGATTTCTGAGACAAAGATAGTTGGGGCTATTAACAAACAACTGGATGAGGGCCCCAATGCTGCAACTGTGATGGGATTAAGCAATAAATAACGGGGAAGGCTGCTTATAGTGTTCCTTGCCCTGTGTTTGTTTTTGTATTCTATGTTAACGTAGACAGTGGTATCTTTATTTGATGTTCCCACCCAATTACCCTCAAGACGCCAGAGCACAATGCTGACAGCCAATGCCTGTTTCTGGTGCTGCCTGACAATTTCTTCTAAGCCCTTCCAATCATTCAGGGACCCTGTGAGTGCTGAGCTTTATTGTAAAAGCCTTTCATAACGAGCGCTCTCTCTCTCGAACTGTTCCCTAGTCAGTAAATAATTCATCGAGCTGTCAGATCTCAGCACTGGAGCAGGAATGGCCACTACTATCAACCATCATGTTCTCTGTTTTAATTGGTAGCGTAAAAACAGAATTAACACCTTCTCGCGTGGTTGGTGTATTGTTTAATTTCTTGCCCGCAAGATTACTCTACAAAAGGCACTGGCACTCCCACACAAACACTAAACTGTACAGAAAACAAACAAATAGAAAGAACACAGTGCAAACTGCTTTCTCGTACAAACAACAATCGCTAAAATGGTGTCCTGTGCCTTAACCTGCTTCAAATTTGAGCAGCAAATTGAATAAAGCGGGCCTTTAGCTGTTCCGCACCACAGTCATTAGTTTCCACGTCTATTTAGTGGGGAGGTGGTGGTGCTGTCGAGGTAATATCAACAGTTCTGGGGCCGCAGGTTCGAATCCCATCGTGGGAGATGGTGAAGTTGAAACTCAATAAAAATGAGCCTCTCCACTGGAAGAGGCAGTGATATAATGGTAATGTTACTTAATGAGTAACTCAGGCTAAATTCTGGGGACAGGGGTTCAAAACCCACTACGGCAGATGGCTAAAATTCAATAATATCTAAGTCTTTTCAAGCTGCTATTGTGGGGCAGTGATAATGTCCCTACCTCCAGGCCAGAAGGCCTGGGCTCCAGCCCTACCTGTTCTAAAGGTATATCATAACATCCGTGAACAAGTCGATTTTAAAATTAAAGCTTATAAACGTGAATTGTAAGGAGAAATGCTTATGTGTGTTTTCAAGTGGGGTTATTGTGGTGCAGCGGTAGCGTCCCTACCTCTGAGCTACGTTCAAGCTCCACCGATTCTAGAGGTGTGTGTAATCTGTGAACAGGCTAATACTTTTACGCGTTTTCAACAACTTGAAAGTGTTGCTAGATCAACACAGATTTTATAGTTTGGGCTTCAAAGATATAAGGAGCCGAGTCAAAGAGTCTCGCGTCTATTTTCCCTTTAGCCTGTATTTAGAATTCACAAATCATTTGCCTCCCCCCAAGTCTCATAAAGAAATGTCATTTTCTTAACATTTCAGTTTAACTACATGTCAGCGTTGAAATAAGGAATGTTCTCCGCCTGCTCTCCTGTGTTATTTGGCGGCGTGGGACTTTAGGAGGACTGGACAATTGGGGAAAAAGGTGGACTTTTAGCTTTTGTTTCTAGTGGAGACCAGGCTGCTGAGATGGGTGAGGTATGAATCTCTCACCCTGGACTGTCTTGTCTTACCTTGGGCATTGGGAATTCACACGCACCCGCACAGTAATAGGCGTCAAAGGATTTGGGAGATATAACCCATTCGCTCCAGCCAATGTCAGCGAAGTCTACTTTAAGGTACCTCCTGGAGCAGGTCCTGGGCTCATTCCACTGCCTCCTCCTGGCCTTCCTCATGGTTTTCTCATCGAAGCTGAGGACCTGGGAGCGGAGGACCTGGTGTTTGCTAGCTTCCTGTTCCTTCCGCCTCCTCTCCTTGCGGGCCATCTTGGGTTTGAGGGGACGGTATGGATTGCCCCAGAGGTCGTGCTTGTGGAATTGACTGTACTCCACCTCAGGCAGCTCGTTGTTCTGCAGGGAAGGCGAGGAAAAGTAGGTTTCCCTCCTGACCCGGGAGTCCCTGGAGGCATTGGGAGAGGGGCTGGCTTCTTCCTCACTGGAGGGGAACGGCCCGTACCTCTGCAGAGTCAGGCCCACGCTATTGGGCTCAGAAATCGCCAAGTCATTGGCGTAGATTAAAATGTAGGGCAGATGACTGGCCTGGCTAGGATTCTGTACCTTCTCCTCAAAATCGAGCTGGGCGCTGAGCAAGAGTCTGTCCTCTCTCCGGGCAGCTTTCACAATCTGGGAGATATCATTTAGGCACCAAGCGCCCCTCCTCTGAGGCGTCACGGTCAGATTGCCGAGGAATTTCTCCCAAGGAGAAGAGGGCGAGGAACTGGTGAAGGTCAGCTCCACCGGCTGGGTCTTGTGCAGGAAAAGACACGGCCCGTTCTTGGAGTTTTTGCAGGAAAGGTGCCTGTTCCTCCAGCGCTTCTGGGCGAAGAAATGGAAAGTAGCGGCCAGGATCAGTTCGGACTCTTGTATGGAAGTCAGGTTGAAATAATACAGGATCTGGTGATCAATAATTTCTGGGACAAAAGAAAACAAGAGCATTCTGTTAGCATAAATGAAAGAACTGCGGATGCTGGAATTCAGAAACAATAAACAGAAATTACTGGAAAAGCTCAGCAGGTCTGGCAGCGTCTGTGGCGAGAAATCAAAGTTTACGTTTCGGTTCGAGTGACCCAAAACGTTAACTCCGATTTCTCTCTCTAGACGCTGCCAGACCTGCTGAGCTTTTTCCAGCAATTTCTGATTCTGTTAACATGCAGAGATCGGAGTTTAGGTCTCTCTGTACACCATGCGATTTCCAATACCCTGAGCTTTACGAATCACTTCCAATCTCTTTCGAAACAGAATAACACTTCTGTCCACATTCGGGTGAGGAAATCTTTTTAGAAATTGGGGCACATAGAAAGCGTCCTAATGTGCGTTAACAGCAATCTTACAGCGGATTCTTCCGACAGTCCGCTACAGCGTCGATCTTTAACCAATTTGTTGCTAATGGACGCACGGATGGAAGATTGCCTCTCTCTGAGATGGTTTATTTTAAAGATATAGTTGAAACGAAAGCTGTTGTTGGATATCGTCTTTTGCATCATTTTGTAAACGACAATTCAAGCTATAGTTTCTCCGTAAGCAACTTCTCCCGTTCTACAGATGATTCCCACTTTCTCTGTATCTCACATTCACCTTGTTTCGGCCACATTACTTCTCCCATACAACATTCTAGAGTTAAAGAAAGTACTTTTAGGGGCAGACCCATTAAACTGCTGATGCCTGGTAAGATGAGCTGGAATAGTTACAGGGTGTGTGTGTGTGTGTGAGGGGTGGGGGGGGGGGGGGGGGGGGGGGGGGGGTGACAGATTACAGTATTTACCAACTCGGTGACTACAGAACTTGCAAGTGAACAGTGTCTACAAACCACGGGCTCCTGTCGCCACGGGGAAACTCACTGTAGCCCAGAAAACCGCGTGAAATCTCCCGGGTCTTATTCCCAGAAAGTTCACAAAGTTCCAGCCAAGCCCCCTGCACCACATGGTTACTGAACATCTTTCCACACATTAAGGGGGGAGGGGGAAGCAAATTTTGGGGTTCAATCTTAATCTTGGATATTTGTTGACACTTGACAAATCCCTTCCAACCCCCCAAGTAGGTCACAAGGAAACAGCACGTTTGTTATTGGCAGGTCCTAGTTTGAGACAGGTTTCGGAAAAAAAAATGTTAAGTTTCTTTGGAAAATGGCAGAGGGAGTGGAGGAACCTGAGGGAGACCGGGTTAAATGCTGTGTAGATGGCGCTGTGTCTGACCCTGTTCACTGTGATTAGGGACCCCGTCCCGTGTGTGTGTGTGTGTGTGTGTGTCTTGGGGGGTGAGGGGGGGTTATGTATTTACATTTAAAGCTCCCCAGTCCGGCCAGGTACACACATTCATTACACATCCATATCAAACAGCCTGTGTGTCACTTCAAATTTCCACTGTGCTAATCGGTTCGACATGTTCTTAAACTCCTGTGATTATTGTTACACTAGGGGTATATACAAGAGCTTCTCAAACGCCCCCCTGGCTTCCCCACTGACCATCCCTTGAGGAAACGTATCCTCACCTTAACCGAGAGCCACCCCCCCCCCCCCCCCCCCCCCCCCCCCCCCCCCCCCCCCCCCCCCCCACCCCCCCCCCCCCCCCCCCCCCCCCGCGCCCCCACCCCTGGTACCCACACGCTGCTTCTCCTTACCCTGTCTCGCCTTGAAGCTGCGCACCGTGTTGCCGTCCCTTGGCCGATTCCCTTCTCGCTGGTATTTCTCATACAGTTTCAGCATGTGCATTCCCACCGTGTCCTGAGCAGCTCGCCCCAGCGCCGAGATGTGACTGGGCCGTGCCTGCTGCGGGTTGGTGGCATCTCTCGCTGCGCTCTCGCTCTGGCCCTGGAGTCCAGCAAACGCCAGAGAGGTTAGCACCTGAAGCCAGAAGCGGTACTCTGCCCAGCGACATGCCATGGTGCTGATCTCTGTTTGCAGTGACTGACTTTCTTAATTTCCCCTACTTCTCCCTCTCCCTCCCCTTTCCCCCTTTAAGCTTGAGAAGCGGATCTACTGATACTAGCAAATATGGGGTACAGCATTCCCCTCACACTGGGTATTCAGGAGCCTAAAACTGCAATCCTCTTGAACTGAGTGCTAGTTTAGGGAGTGCTAGCAAGAGCCCCCTCCCTTTTACTGCTCTCTCACTCTCTCTCTCTCGCTCTGTCGCCTCTAGCTAAGTCCTCCGCTCCCCCTCACTCTGAATCTCCTGCTGTCCTCCGTCTTGTACTCAGCACAATAAAAAAAACAAAATGTGAAACTTTCTTTCCACCCCAGCACCCTGAGAGAGGGAAAAAAACTTTTCATTTTAGGCTAAGGTACCGGTGACGAAATGTATCCACAAGCCAATCGGAGGTCAGACCCTCCCGGAGCCAGCCAATGGGTAGGTAGGGGATGGAGAAGGGGGCAAATTAGTGAGGATGTCCCCTTTAAGGGCCGGTCTCTTCCTCCAACCCATTGGCAGCGAGCGGTCCCTTTAAATCCCCAGGGGATATTGAGTGGAGCTCTGCAGGGAGACGTAAATATCAAGAACCATCCTTACGCCGCCCTATAGATCCCGATCCCAATCCCAAATTAAACTAACGATCACGCTGCCTAAAGTAAAAAAGGACGATGCAGCCTGTCGGTGTGTTTCACTTTCAGGATAGTGACAACTCTTTTTCTTTGCAATGTCATTTGATGTTTGTTATTTTAAAAAGGATGTTCACGTGCCTGTCCTTGCAATTAAAGAGCCATTTCTCATTAGTGATGTTAATGTTTCTTGAAGGAATGCGATTTAAATCCAGTTTCTGGAATCGGGAGTATTTTCAGGAACCGGTTTCTGGGAAAGTCAGGAGTTTTTATTTGGGAGAGAGTTGGGGCTGTTAGCACTATCTCGGTGTGACCTGTTCCCACTCTCAGTCACTGCCCCATTCCGTCCACTGGTTCCGAGGCTGCTCAGAAGATGCAACATTAACCTCTCTGAGCTGACTCCTTTAACCCCTTGGCGAAGTTAGTGCTTCGATCGGCTACAAATATTCACAATGTGCACATCCCTTCCAAAACAAAATTCCACCAAGTGATATGTGGGTATTTCATCTCATGTTGTCAGTCTTTTTCCTATGGTTGAAGGGTCAGGCTTTGAAAAAACAGACCTTCTGATCTGAAAGAGAATGTAACTTCATGTGGCAAGTGATTGAAATGCTTGGGTTTGAACAATTTAAAGAGGAAAAAAATCCTTTTGATCTAGGCCAGCAATTGTTGCCCATCCTCGAGAAATTGCTAGGATGGACATGCTTGAACCGCTGCAGTCCATGTGGTAAATAATGATCGAAGTGACCTGAATATCAATTAAAAAAAAACACACACGTTTGTTTTTATTTCCAAATTGAACGGCATTGTTATTCTCGTCCTTGTGATGTTAATTATATTGAGCTGTTCAAAGCTACACTTCTTGCTACAAAGCCCTGAAGATCTCAACGTGCAGTTTTACATTTCAGCCCCTCAGCGTTAAGAGTCAGATTTGCAGTTCGATCTCAGCCTACAGCTACTTCATCTGGTGCCTATCTAACATCTCCCTGTTCAGGATTTTGTTTGCCTTGGCTTAGCTTCTGCTTCCCCAGCTAATTGCCATTTTGATTCAAGGTCCTAAAGATTCAACTCCCTGCAGGGATGAAACTCTAAAGCCTCGGCTTTTGTTGCACCCTGTCAACAATATTGACTGAGAGAGAGAGAGAAAAAGGATTCAGATTCTCCCACTACAGCCCTGTTTTACCTGGTGTGCGGATTTGCATTAGTCTGTCACGAACACTTCTCTGTTTTATCCACTGGAGGCTACAAGACCAGAATTAATTTCCTGACAGTCCTGTAACTCACTCACTGCACGCTGCAGTTGTGATTTTGTTTTGATACGGGTCAAATCCCTTCCGTGTTGACTATTTGTGCCTTCATTGGGATTGTGATGGGAATGGCGTGTTTTAAGTACAGACTGACTCAATAGTCATTTCTGGGTTTGCATCCAGACTGGTAGGATAACGGACTCTGAATGCAGTCATCCAAGTGAGACGCTGGGGCAGAATGAAGGCAATTTTGAGGCATGAGCTCAGAGAACAAACATCCCTAATTTGGCACTGTACTGAAAATCTCTCTTATTTGGCATATGGAAGACACACACCTGGAATAATTTCATTGACTGGTAGAGTTATTCAGCATGGAAACACACCATTCGGTCGAACTAGTCTACGCCGTCCAGGTTCCTAAACTAAGCTAGTTCAATTTGCTCTTATCCGTCTAAACCTTTCCTATTCACGTACTTACGCAATTGTCTGTACCTGCACCCACCACTTCCGCTGGCAGTTCTTTTCACACACTAAGCACTCTCTGTATAAAAAAAGTTATGCCTCGTGTCCTTTTAAAATCTTTCTTCTCTCACCTTAAAAGCTTTGAACTCCCCTACCTTAGGGAAAAAACTTTTGCTATTCACATTATCTATGCCCCTCATGATTTTATAAACCTCTATAAGGTCACCCCTCAAACTCCTGTGCTCCAGTGAAAAAAGTCCCAGCCTATCCAGCCTATTTTAATTGTTTTGTCAAAACGTAATACCTCACATTTATCCAAATTAAACTCCATCTGCCACTCCTGTTAGGTGGATTGGCCATGCTAAATTGCCCATAGTGTTCAGGGAGGTGTAGATTGGGTGGGTTATAGGGGGATGGGTTTGGGTGGGATGCTCTGAGGGTCGGTGTGGACTTGTTGGGCCGAAGGGCCTGTTTCCACATTGTGGGGATTCTATGATTCCTAACGCATTGACCCGATTGAAAAATATTTCTTTGTAATCTTAGGTAACCTTCTCCACTGTCCACTATACCACCAATTTTGATGTCATTCACAAACTTACCAACCATGCTTCTTATATTCTCATCCAAATCATTTATGTAAGTGACAAACAAAAGTGGATCCAGTACTGATCCCTGTGGAACACCACCGGTCACAGGCTTCAAGTCCAAAAAACAACTCTCTACCGATATCCTCTGTCTCCTGCCATAACACCAATTATGTATCCAATTGGCAACTGGGCTAAAGCACATTGTATAAGTAGAGATCTAACAAATTTCTGAAGGGAGGTATTCTTCACTTGTGAAGACTATGACTTGCATTGTTATTTTCACTTTCCTCCTCACTGAGACTTTTACACAAAGACTTTTGCATAAGACCAAAAAACAAACAAGTGAAATAAAGACAGAAAGTGCTGGAGCAACTCAGCATATCTGGCAGCATTCATGGAGACAGCAACAGAATTAATGTTTTAAGTCTGAAATGACTCTCCTTTAGAAATGATCCAAAAAATAATTGAACTCAAAGTTAACACTATTTCTTGTTCCACTGATGCTAGACGTGTTTAGTTTGTCCAGCAGATTTTATTTCTGATATCCAGCACCAACAATATTTTGCTTTTGTTAAAGAATTATACATTATTGAACTATCAATGAAGAAGATTACATATGTTGGAACAGAGCAAACTCTTTTAAATAAAATACATTTATCATTGCTTGGATCAATTTTTAAGTGAGGGCTTGCCATTCAAGAATGACTTTCTAAATGTTAGTGTTTAATGATCTTATACTGGACATTAAGAGTTACTTTGAACTTTGAAGTTCTTCTTGATTGGTTTACTAGCCTAATTTAAAAATAATCCAAATGTCAATCCCATACAAAATATTCTGTGTATGATGGAATTAAGTCACAAAGTGTGATGCTTGTGTAAGCTTAACACAGTTGCTTATTTTTAACATAGTACAATAACAGCTTGTCTAGCTGTCATAAAGCAAACCACTACATATAGCTAATGATATATACATATAAGCTTTTCTATGTGAATTATGCCCTTGATCTTGTATATTTAAAGCATGGAAGATGCCAATAACCTAAGGATAAAGATTTTCTGTATGGCTAACCTGACTATGCTCCCCATGAATTCTACCAAATTGATGATGGATTTGAGAAATGAGGCAATTATATTTTATGAATCCTAGTTTAGATAATGTTGCATTGGGCATTTGAGTTGTGAGAACTTACAGATTTCTATGAATATTTCATAATCCAGTCACTTAATGTACAAGCGTGGTCCGTACCTTAATCCAATCTAATGGCAAATGTATACATTTCATTAGTAGAAGTAGAATGAAGATTATCTGGAACTGAGTGGGAATAATTACAAGCATTAATGACAGATCTATCCTGCAAGACTCTATTAGTGGGTCAGACTGGGTGGTTAATCATCAGCAGTAGAGCAGACATGGTTCATTCAAGTATTGGATTACTGAGCCTCTCACAGATGTTTAACTCAGTGCTGAACATCCATCACCAGGCATGTTATCTTGGAGCCAGTTTTTATACATCTTACCTCTCCCCTCTAGAAAGATAATTACCAGTTGGCCATTAGGCAACTGATACGCATGAATTTGAGGCATCATTAGCTGCGCAGCAGTTACAAGAATCTCACGATTGGCATGATACATAGCACAAATGGCTATAACGTGAGTGCGTCGCCATCAATTAATTGTTTGAAACCTACAACGGTCTCAAGTTTCAGTTTCCTTATCGGCTTCAAATAGAAGGATGTACACAACAAAGTTTCTGCTCTGTCAGTGACATTGATCCTGCACACATTCAAGGTTAGTATTGTTACCAGTTTCACAAATTCCTTGGTTCCCTAGTTCTCTCCCACATCTAGTGGCACAACAGGCAGAGAAGGCGCATTCTTTATGTTTCCTGGAACAAATGGCCAGAGGCTGTAGCCCAGGGGGTGCCAGTCTGCATGAAGCATGACTGATCAGTGGACTTTCCCACTCTTACTACTTCCCATAGGTGTATCAGAAGGCTTCATAGGTTGACTACCAACCTGTTTGGCCATATTATAGCACATCTTTTGCAGCCATCAAGTCCAGTGGAGGGAAAATGACCTGGGCCTT